TCCCCCCCCCCCCCCGCAAAAGTTGGAATATACTTTTCGTGTTATTCCGTTGTACCTACATTTATTTTTCTGAATTAGTATCAGCAAATACATGGTGTCATGGTGGAGCAATTGCAACATGCATGATGTTATGTCAAAACTAATGATGATCATTTATTGCAAATATTATTTAATTAATTGTGATCTCGTGTGTTCCATCTGTTAGATGTGATTGAATTAAACCCTTTCCATCTTGATAATATCGAACTTTGCCGCCCATTGTCTTGATCATAATAACAAAAATGAAGAAAGTCTAGCAAAATCACATTTTTGAAATCATTTCTAAAATTCTTAATTCTTGATAAAGGAGACAGATGGGCAGTTGCTTCATCCTTATCCTGCTGTGTACGTGATATAGGAAAAGATAAAGTAACTATTTCCAAATATATTAATTTGTACACATCATTTTATAACACTGCTAAAATCCTCACAATTCATTTACAAGAGTCAGATTAACACAACAAATTAAGTAAAAAGAAAAGGAATAAATACTTGTAATATTCTCTTCAATTAGTTTTTTTTATCACTTTTTTTTTATTCTTTGAAATTTATGCACTTTTTTTTTATTGACAAATGTTAGTTAACTAGTGAGTTATGTTAGTCAGAGATATTTGAACCCACTCTCTTCTTTTCATTCTGATCCTATATAACATTGAATCCTCGTATAAATTGTTTGCACAAATATAACATTTCCTAAATTGTTTCAATAAAAAAGTCTAACTCAGTTAGTTTGAACAAGATGTATTTGATTCATAAAGATAAATAAATATTGCATTTCCTAAAAAAAAAATCAATTATGCAACAAAGAGACACAATTGAATCTTTCCGTTAGAATTTCACAAGAAATTAAGTAAAGTGATAACTGTATTTATGCAACAAAAAAGAAAAATAAGAAAATAATTGTGAGATGAGTTGTTTCCTCAAAATTAGTATTATGCAACAAAGAGTGTTTCATATGGGAGGCACGCAATTGGATCTTAATTAGTCATGTCTTGAGATATTGAGATAGTAATCCTTTAATCTCAATTAAAGAATGAGAGTAATTTTTTTGGTGACATATGCAGGTTCTTCACAATAAATTCCTAGCTGAGGCAGCTAAATAGATAGATGGCAACAAAAGCAAAAGACAGTAGTAGTGTAGTTGGGAAGGAGAAGAAGGCCACATCTTCAAACTCTCCCATCACAAGCACCAAAAAGGCCTCCACAACAAACAAGGCCACGTCAGGCCCATCAGAGAAACCAGTCCCCAACTACCTCAAGCCCACAATCAGCTCAGTGCGTCTTGAGTCTCACTCCTCCTTCAATCTTCCTAAGAATAACGATGGTGCCACCAAGCCCACTCTAAATAGAAGAAGATCTTTGGACCCATCATCTTCATCTTCATCTTCAAGGTTACCAAAACAAACACAACTTTCTCTTTCGAGACAACACAAGGCCCTTGTGTCCCCTGGCCCACGAGACAGAACCCTCACTCATCGATCTTCGAGTGTTCCAAGCAAAACTACCAACAACAACGCTTCAAAACTTGTTCCAGAGAGGCTCTCTAGGACCCCGAAGGAAGGGAGAACTCAGCCACTCGTTGCTAAGAGCACCAAGAAGGGAATAAGTAACAGCGTTTCTGCTTCAAGTACTAAGAAGGTGATAACTGATGATGCTTCAACAAAGAGTACAAGTGTTGGTGAAACTGAAACCACAAAAGCTGTTAGTGTTGAATCCGAACCACAAGTTAAAGAGGCTATAAGTGAAGAGGTTGTTGGAGAAGTGGAGAAAGTGGAGAATCAAGATGAACTTACAAGTCAAGTAGTTGATCATGGAGAGCATGATCAAAAGCTTGAGGAGTCTGATGAGCCTCATGTTCAAGCTGATGAGGACAAGGTCATTCCTACTCCTACAGTGTCAGAAGAAGAAGAACAACAAGAAGATAAACAAGAGGATGTTAATAATACAAACCAAGATGAGTGCAACATTAATGAGAGTAATCATGCAGAGGTTGATCACTCAACAACTGAAGCAGAAGTTATTGAGGTTAAAGAAATGGAACAAGAACAAGAACAAGAACAACAAGAACAAGAACAAGAACAAAAAGAAGGTGTGGTTGAAATAGAAGAAGATCATAAAGATGAGAGCAACAATGAGGAAAAGGTGGTGGAAGAGAAGGAGAGATCAGATGAAGAAGGAATAAATGAAGAGGTTAATAATAAGTTGAGGGAAGGAGAAGAAGAAGATGAACAAGTAGAGAGTGAAGTGAAAGAAGAAAAGGGTGAGTCAACAAAAGTAGAACAAGTAGAAGATAGTGAAGAGATGGAAAAGGGTGAGTCAACAAAAGTAGAACAAGTAAAAGATAGCGAAGAGGTGGAAGAGAATAAAGAGTCTCCCTCTCAGGTATCTAATGATGTGATTGAAGAAACTGCAGGGAAACTATTGGAAGCGAGGAGAAATAAGGTGAGAGCATTGGCTGGTGCATTTCAAACCGTCATTGACCATCAAACCAAGTGAGTCAAGCCACCATTGTTACATTGTATTAAGACTTAAGAAGAGTATCAGAGATAGAACAGAAAAATCTCTGACTTAAAGAGATTCAAATGTTCCAACCTTTATGGTAGTAGGGGCACGTGTTGCTGTCAAACATCTGCTGATTTTCAAGGCTAGTTGATTTTTCATAAACATGTGTAATTAATTAAATTGTAACTTATTATAGGGTTTAAATGCATAATTGCTATCCATTACATGTTAAATATTATGAGAATTGAACCAACTTACCTCATGAGTCTCGTGGAACACTTGGAGGCCGTGGTTCCGTCCAAAACAATTAGAATTACAAGTTCATATATATTTCATAAGTATATACAAGCCCATTATCATTTGTTTCTTCAATTGTTCTGTGTTGTTTAGTTACCAACTAATATTTCCTTTAAAAAAACAAGTTAGAAACTAACTACTATATGAAATTGACATCTATGAAGCCGTAAATTAAATTGGCTAAGCAATATTTTAAAATTGAAATAATCATTAAACCAGTGAGAACACCAATTAAGGTTTAATAATTTAATTATAATTAAATCATGATCAAATCATTATTAATAATAACAATTAAATAATATTAAATAAATATTGTTCCAACCAAGGGGTGCACTAGGGTTTTTTCCTAGGTCAAGCCTCAAAGCCAGAACATTCAAAAGTGTAATCTGCCTTCTCAACTCTAGGATTTTTAGTTTTATAGTTTCTTACTTACGGGCCTCCTGGGCCCCGAGAATGTAGGGATTTCCTTAACTGTCTAATCTAGAAAATATTTAATGATGAGTAGTGGGACCTTGTTCTTACCCTTGGGTGGCTCCTATATGCCAAGGTTAAATCGGTCCCCGACTGACTAGGTCCACATTGAATGCACCATCGGCTAACGACCGAGTAGGTTCTCTTGGGCGAGTGAAGTCGGTATCTGACCAACATAACTTATCATAGAGGATCCGAGACGGATATATGCCGAGTGACTCCGAGAGAATGGGTCAGCCAGGACTGTAGTCGGCTGGCAAAATGGGGAGGGACCCGGTCGGCATCCGACTGGGACGATACAAATATAATATATCATAACTTTATAGCACTAAAAACTTCTAAGTAAAATACTAGTTTATAAGTTCTTAAAATTCAAAATAATGGTAAAAGTCTAAATCAAATATATCATAATACTTGTGTTTAAATTTTAAAGAAATACAATATTTTTTCATTAATAATAACAAGTCTATTTCTAAAATGAAAAAGGAAATAATATAATTTAATATAAACTTGTAAGAAATCATGATGTAAAAGATTATAAATTAATAAATCATTAAATCATGTTTTGAAAAAACTGATAAATATATTATTCCTATTTGTAATCTACATTAAATATGTTTTTATTTATTTTAAACTATTTAGATTAAATTTTTAAAAAATTAAAAATGGAATAGTATTGGTTTAAATCAATTCTACATTAATATTACTATTAGGCTTTGATCCATTTTCACTTATATGAAATGTTCTAATTATTTAGAATTAATATATAGATCATGAAATTGTTTATTAATTAAATCAGTTTACTCGATCGATGTGATCTTAAAAATTACATTTGTTAATATGATACTTTCTACTCTACATACTAATATTCTCATATAAATTAAAAAGAGATAACATAGAATTCGAAATAAACTTTAATAAATAAAAATTATTTGTAAAAACTCTCGAATAGAGGTCATATCTATGACACATAAACTAAAACTAAGAAACACAAAAACAATTAACTAAATAAAGTTATTACAAAAACCAAGGAATTAATAACATAAGTCTTAAACATAATAAAAATTAACGGTACATGAAATTTTAACTAAAATTCTGATGTCATATCCTATTAAAACATAATTATTATAAAATATAAGACTTAAGCCTCATCTTTAGCATCATCCTCAAGATGATTCTCAAAATACAACTATAGTATAAAGCATATATTTTTCAAAATACACTTAATTAAAGAATTAATTATAACATATATTTTTTCAAATACTTACTCTAACAAAATAATTTTTTCAAACTTTTTTTTAATTAAAAACACTCATAATTATTTTTAAAATATCTAAATTATTTTATAAAATCCCTATAATTAATTAAAAAATCATTTTAATTATTTTAGAAAACTTACCGCTGCAATATATAATTTCTTGGTCCATGAGTTCTCACATTTCAAACAATATAGTTCCTTAGTTGCTATTTCAACTACACAAATCCATAAACTCAATTTATTGCTTTCACTATTTCTTGAACGAGAAGAAATTCAAGACAGCCTGCTAATTGCATGATTGAGCAGGAGAGAAGATGGTAACAAATTCAGACACATTAGACACAAAAAAAAAAAAAAAAAAAATTGGAAAATAGTAAGTATAGTTGAATCACTTGCTTAGTCACCCTAAAAACTATGTCTTATATGTAATACTTTGGTTCGGAATATACTATTCTCTCCAAACTTAGCTGACGTCGGAAGTTAGCAATGAAGGCCTCTGCCCTTTTATCAACATCATCTTCCGAAACATAACTTATTGTTCTTCTATTGATTTCTTCATCCTCAAGGAACCTTTGCATGCCCATTTGTTTATGGAACAACTTGCACCATCTTTGTTTTAAACTTCTGGATACACTCGAATGCATTCGCCAAGAGCGTATTAGAGACTTCAGTTTCTTCATAGACCTCACGAATTGTCTAATGAGTGGTGAAGATTTATGCGTTTCCATGCGCCCACGTAGAAGCTATATTGGTTTTGATAATTGATGATCACATATATTCATATGCAAATTAATACTAGCTAGTGCTTATATAGGGGAGAGAAATCAAAGAAGTTTCTTATAGAAGCTTCTTTTTATATAGGGAAGTTAACAAAATATTGTATGGAAGATTCGTAGAGTCATATAGCGCGTAGCTTAGAAATTGAAATGACAGAAACAAGTGAAGGTGTCGGTTAATTACGTGGTGAGTTTGAAGAAATAGAGCACCAAAAACCAGGATAAAATTACAATGTTGCCACCGACCAGATTCATTCTAGGAAGGTACGTGTTCATCTTTTTTTTCTTTCTTTTTTTACTTCTTATTTTATACATACCAAGGTTAGTTTAGAAAAAAAAAATTGACTTTTGATTTTTAATTATAAAATGTATTATTTAAATTTCATTTTTATATTTAAATTTTTTATAAAAATGGTTTATTATTCTCATGATTTATATATATTTTTACATAAAATAAAATTATAATTTTATAATTAAAAGTAAAAAAAAGAATCAAACAACTTGATTTTTTTTATTCTATTATCAATTGAGTACAGTAAAAGGAAATTCTTTCGTGGACGCGTTACTTGTGTTTTGGTGGGACATGAAGTGGGTCCCCTCCATGCCTTAGATGCATCAGCTTCAAACTTTTGGACATCTTTTACTGGTAGTAGGTTTTGTTGGGAGAAAGAAGTGTAGAAAGGAGATAAATAAGTTGTGAAGGAAAAGGGAATCCATTTTTTTGGGTGTATGAACTAAAGAAAGTGAGAGATAGAGAAGAAAAGAAGGAGATGATCGAAATGATGAGGAAAGACCATCACATTTTATTTAGCACTAAAGAGAAAAAGACGGAGCAATGTGAATATGATAAATAACATGATGTCTTAGAAAGAAAAGAGAAAGCATGAACGTATAGAAGTTTCTATACAACATCACTTGATAAAAACTGAAGACATAAATAAAAAATAAACAGAATGAAAATGAAATGAAAGAACAAAAAAGTGTAGAGTGGAGAAGAAAAGAAGGGGAAGAGTAGAGTACTCAACAATGTGGATAAAAACTAGAGCGTCAAAGTGGGCCGGGACCCGTGGGTTAACCCGGCCCACCTTGAAAACAGGTTGGGCCAGGCCAAAAAAAGAAGTTTTATAGCAGGTGGGTATATCTCAACCCGACCCACTTTGACCTGGCCCACTCGGGCTGAACCCGTGGTGGGCCGGTGGGCCGGGTAGTCCACCAACCTACCATTTTTTTTTACAATAAAAATTTAAGTATGATTTGTAGTTAATTTTGTATGATCGAATATTGAAACTTTTTATTTTAGACTTTTATCATGATTAGTATTTAAATTTGTATGATGAGTTATGACTTATGAATATTAATGATGCTAATTTTATGACTATTATGTTAATTTATAATTAATTTAAAATTTTGAATTTTTTTGATAAATTTTTTTTAATTTTTGGTGGGATGGTGGGCTGGCCCGTATAACCCACCAACCCGTGGTGGGCCGGGCTAGGCCAAATTTTTTTGAAAAAATCAAAAGTGGGTCAGGTTGAGTTAACTCATTTTTAAAGTGGGTCAAGGTGAGCTGGCCTATATGGGTCGGGCTGGCCCGTTTTGACAGCTCTATTAAAAACTTGAAGAGTAGTGCTGTTGTTGTTGAATATTGAATGGAACTTGGTATTCTAATTTTTATCCATTCTGTTTTTTTTTCCCTCTTTCTCTATTTCTTTTTTTCATATCAATTTCGATCCCAACATGGTATAAGAGTACGAGTGGTTTCATCATCGAATGAAGTCAAAGATCTGTAAAAGAAACCTCCTTAATATTGCGATTGTAAAAAAAAAAAAAAAAAGTTCAAGAAGCATCCTTACTTGACTCTTACGGTGTGTTTGGACGAAGAATTTTACAAATTCAAGAAATTTTAAATTTTTGGTATTTAAATTACTTTGATTTCAATTTCTATCATTTTTAAAATATTTTGTTTGGATAAGTCAATTCAAATTTTTCAAATTTTAAATTGTTGGGTTGGATATGATAATTTGATTCCACCATGGTAAAATTGATTTTAAAAATATGTTTATATGTTGATATTTTTATAAATTAAATTTTATAAAAATAAATATTAGTTAATTTTTAAATATTTATAATATTTTAAAAAATTAATATTAGATAATATTTAATAATTTAAAAAAAAATTAAATATTCAATAA